CATCAATAAAATATTTTTTTGTTTGTTTTAAAGGCATCAAACTGGAGGGGGGAGAAGGACAGAGAAAAAATTTAAAAACAGATGGCCTAGAAAATCTTCAGCAGGTCCAAATGAGCATGCAGGGAATCTGACACCCACCAGCAATGCAGAACAAACACCCAAAGAGAAAAACCTATAAACCACTCAACTAACATGACTGGAAACTACATTCATTAGAAGTAGCACTTTTCCTCACCTTTTCATATTAGAAATTACTGTTACAAGTAAGATGAGGTAGAGAAGGATGATACAGCAACATCAACTCACTGAGTATGGTAAAATATGGTAAAATAATCTATTTTTATTTTTAAATATTTTTTACAATACTGAGAAAAAACACAAGTAGATGATATCTGTCTCTGTTCTTAGCTATTTCAACAGCCCTCAGTAATCTGCTATTCAAGGTCCTTTGATGCTTTAGAAAATTTATCCTTGTAATATCCTTTCAGGTTAAAGAAGTGCTATTAGTCCTCCTAGCATAAAGAAAGCAGCATCAAATGAGACTGTGTTTAACAGCAATGCAACCAATATTTCCCCAACCTAAGCCCAGCATCTTAACGCCTGACTAGCTGGCAAAATCAAAATCAAAACCAGCACCAGATCACAAGGTATTTCACAGCCTCCAGAGAAGGCCTATTTTGAAATACAGTGAAAATCATTATATTTAGAAAGAAAATTGTAACAAGCAGGGGAGAAAAAACAAAATAAACACCAACTTTTACAATTTTTTTCAGTTTAAAATAGTAATAAAAAGCCTTTTTCCACACTAAAATTTCCTGAGATGATCAGGATAAGTCTTCAAGTATTTGTACAGCAAGTACCATTCGACAGAACCAGACAGACACATCTAGAAAATAAACCCAAAACAAAACAAATTAAAAACAACACCAAAACCAAACACTGTGGGTTTATAAGCTGGTATTGCAATGACTTTATAAAAGTAGAAAACCAACAAAAGAACTAAGGTAACATGCATTTAGGAGAATAATTCTGTTCTAACAGTGTTTAAAATTCACATGGATTCAAAACTAAATTGATACATTTATGGGAAAAAAATAAATCAAGGTCAACTAGATATTGTTCACTAAAAAAAAGTCTGGAAGACTAGCTGGCATAGTATGTAAGTGTACTAGAAAAGATCTATAAGTACTTGCCTTATTCACATGCCAAGATGGTGTCAAGGTATCTTCTCATGTCTGGTTTTAAAGCACTTGAATTAGAGTTGTCTTAAATGTGATCAGGTACAAAATTCTCCGTATTTACCAGGCTCCTAGCATTGTTACTTCGGTTTTGAAAAAAGATCAAATGAATTTCAGTGCCACATAACTCCATGTTAAGTATGACTATTTTTGGAAGAACTGAGGGACTGAGTTATTGATGAGCTCATTAGAAAGACACACACTGAACTGTAAAGCTTATAAAAAGACACATCCAAACTTGTTAACTGCTGCTTTCATGAGAAATTTCTAGTGAAAAGGTCACTAAAGAGCCTGACTTCTCCCCTGCTCCAAATTACCATGCAATTGTGCAGTACCATGACTGAATTACAGGAGGCACTAACAATGAGAAAATTAGAACAACAAAATAGAAAGTTCATAAAAGACACAGAAGCAACAAGGTTAATGTTATACCTGTGGTCTTAAAGACAAGGTCAGACAAGGAATATGGGAAGAATAACACTACATACGTATTATGACATATTATGCTGTACCATACACAGAAATAAATGCAGACACACACACACATATATATATGCATGCATGAATGTTGTATTCTTATCTATAACATGCCTCCTTATATATTGGGGAAAAAATGGTCAATTACCCAATGACTAGCAAAAACATGGATAGCCCAGTATCTCAATCCCACTGATACACAACAATTCACAGTGATGTGAAAGAGGAAGAACACAGGCTGGATGAAGCCTTAGGTTAACTCTTTGTTTTACATAACTGACTAAAGCTCATCCACTTTCTGCAAGCTAGGCAGCTAGATGATCTGGCCTTTGAAGCCCAAATATTTCACTCTCTTTGGTTTAACTCCTTGTAAAAACATCTGACCTTTTCTTCTTTTAACAGTTTATCTCAGATCTCTAACAGAGAAAAAAGCAGAAAAAAAGCTAAATTGTCTTTAGACTGTGACATAAAAGAATAATCCAATTCTTCAGTGTGAGGGCTAGGGAAAAGCAGGTTAACAAAAGCCTTTTAGAGTAATTTCCATTCCATGTTCAGACTGGGAAAACAGGGTGGGGATTTTCTTCTGCATTTACAGAGGGTAAACAGGTATCTGAAATTATTCCAGCAGGTTATAGATTAACATCAAATACAAATTTCCTTTCTTTCAACAATTATGGCGAGGGGAACAAAAAGCCTTTGCATTTAGGGACACATCCTGTGAAATAGAAACACACATCACATGGTTGGGAATAATGGAAGAATTAAAAAAAAAAAAACCCTCCAACATCAGAGCCTTCACTGTGCTAAACAAATTAAGCAACCTCTGGTCATGTGAAATGAAATCACAGGTCTTATCTGGTCCACAAGTTCTCCATCCCAGTAAAGGGTAATGACTCCTCTTAACATTCCTCAAATTAATTTCTCTATTTTATGGTATAAATGTAGGAAAGCTACAAGTAGACAGTGTAAAGACAGCTGAGATTTCCTTATTCACATTCCCTCCTGGCAAGAATGTGTTGTTTTGGTGGCTGGTGAATGGAACTAAGAAATGCAAGTATTTGTTGCTCTGCTGACTTCTTGTAACCAGCATATAAAAGGAGCAGATCTCAGCCCAGACAGTGATAAGTTATGGCTATTTAATAAAGCTGTAGATCAGAATGGAAGTTCTACTCCCGAGACAGGTTTCAGGGGAGACAGTAAGATCTTTCACTGGCAAAGGCTCTTACCACACCACCCAAGTCCTGGAAGGCAGATATAGGGACTGTGAGAATGAAGACCTTGTGCCCACTGTAGGAGAGGATCTGGTTCGAGACCATCTTAAAAATCTGAATGTGCACAAGTCCATGGGTCCTGATGAAATCCATCCGCAGGTCCTGAAGGAGCTGGCAAATGAATTTCCTAAGCCGCTGGGCATCATATTTGAGAAATCATGGCAGTCAGGTGAAGTTCCCGATGACTGGAAAAAGGGAAATATAGCCCCCATTTTCAAGAAGGGGAAAATGGATGACACGGAGAATTACAGAGCAGTCAGTCTCACCTCTGTGCCTGGCAAAATCTTGGAGCAGATTCTCCTGGAAGGCATGCTAAGGCACATGAAAAACAACAAGGTGCTTGGTGACAGCCAGCATGGCTTCAAGGGGAAATCCTGCCTGACCAATTTAGTGGCCTTCTGTGATGGGGCTACAGAACTGATGGACAGCGGTAGAGCAGTTGAGATCACCTACCTGGACTTCTGCAAAGCGTTTGACACTGTCCCACATGGCATCCTTGTCTCTGAGTTGTGGTCAATGGCTCAATGTCCAGCTGCAGACCAGTAACGAGTGGTGTCCCTCAGGGATCGGTGTTGGGACTGGTCTTGTTCAACATCTTTGTCGCTGACATGGACAGTGGGATTGAGTGCACCCTCAGCAAGTTTGCCGATGACACCAAGTTGTGTGGTTCAGTTGATACCCTGGAGGGAAGGAATGCCATCCAGAGGGACCTTGACACGCTTGTGAGGTGGGCTAATGCCAACCTTGTGAAGTTTAACCATGACAAGTGCAAGGTCCTACACCTGGGTCAGAGCAATCCCAGGCACAGCTACAGGCTGGGAAGAGAAGAAATTCAGAGCAGCCCTGCGGAGAACAACTTGGGGGCGTTGGTGGATGAAAAACTTAACATGAGCCAGCTTCAGTGTGTGCTTGCAGCCCAAAGAAAAACATATTCTGGCTGCATCAGAAGGAGCGTGACCAGCAGGTCGAAGGAGGTGATCCTGCCCCTCTACTCTGCTCTTGTGAGACCTCACTTGGAGTAGTGTGTGCAGTTATGGTGTCCTCAACATGAAAAGGACATGGAACTGTTGGAACAAGTCCAGAGAAGGGCCCTGATCCAGATGATCAGGGGACTGGAGCACCTCCCATATGAAGACAGGCTGAGGAAATTGGGGCTGTTCAGCCTGGAGAAGAGAAGGGTGCGTGGAGACCTCATAGCAGCCTTCCGGTATCTGAAGGGGGGCTATAGGGATGCTGGGGAGGGACTCTTCCTTAGGGACTGTAGTGATAGGACAAGGGGTAACGGGTTAAAACTTAACCAGGGGAAGTTTAGATCGGATGTAAGAAGGAAATTCTTTCCTGTTAGGGTGGTGAGGCACTGGAATGGGTTGCCCAGGGAGGCTGTGAATGCTTCATCCCTGTCAGTGTTCAAGACCATGTTGGACGAGGCCTTGGGTGATATGGTTTACTGTGAGGTGTCCCTGCCCATGGCAGGGGTGCTGGAACTAGATGATCTTAAGGTCCTTTCCAGTCCTAACTATTCTATGATTCTATGACCTCTATCCTCTGTTTATTTAAGTATTACTTGAATAATTTAACACTATTCTGTATTGGCTGTCCTGCTCTCCATCTGGTTCCAGGACCCCTGGTCCTCCATGCATGCCCAGTAACTTAACTCAGTATCAGCATTCTTTATGCACAGCTTTTTACACTTTCAAGTCCATCTTTAAAATCACTGTTGGTTCAGTTCATGCTGTGTACCTATATTTGCCATATTTTGTATTGCCCTGTCAGCATTGCCTTCCCTTGCACATATTTCTAAACCTTTCAGAGTACATTCTGCTTTTGCTTCTATTATCTCACTGTTTATCAGTCACAATCTGACTCTCCCCTTTGATTCAATTGCACAGCAACAGTAACAAGTTGATAAACAGCTACTCATGTTTTGTGGGCCATCTTAGCTTCACACTAATCTGTATGCTTGTTTACAAAGAAAATCATGAACTTTCTTCCAAAAATTTTTCATTGTACTTACCTGGTTTCCTTGTGGTCTGGGCTCACACCTCAAGTTGTCCTCACTGTAGATCTAAGATGCAGGCTGTTCTGTTGCTTCCAGGTTCTTCAGTTGGATCTATAATAGATGACAACACATTTGCAAAGTTCAGGCATGAAACAGAGCACAATTTTCCCAGCTTTGTGATCACTGTTTAGTTAAACTTCACCCACCTAGCCATGCCTTATTCTCCCAGTGAAGAGCTGGATCATTCTTTTACAACACAGTCCAAAGGTAATTTACCTTTTCTACTTTTTCGCTATTACTGTTGAGAGCATCAGTCAAGGCACTCTTGCTCATCACAATAACAGTGCAACAGCATCACAAAAAATATTGTCCCTTTCACACAAAATACCAATACCCGGTCTGAACATTTCACTGAGCTGCTATTTCTACACAGATTTTTAAGGGTCAACTTAAGCTACATATGCAATAAAAAAAGATCTAGCATTAAGTCAACACAACTGAACAAAGATACTTTTTTTTCTTTTTTCCTTAGCTGGTGCATGCTTCAATCTGAAATAATCTTGGTTTTTCATGTCAAAAAGACAACACAAGTATGAGGAGCAAATACTGCAGCTAAGTCTGAACAAATATTTTTTGCAGATTAGTACTGTTTCTTTTTTTCCTTTCCTAATCATTTCTGTTTTCCCATCATTAATTTTCTATCAAAAATTAACTGATATATTTAACATTACTGTTTTTAACATTTACTGACATTTACCTTAATATTCCATCCCACAGACTAAATAATCTGTTATTGGTCAGGTAAAAGAAGAGTCTGATTCAGGATAGTACCCTATTTGATCAGTAGATGATAATTCCTACATTAACAACCCATAATCAGAGTCTGCTGAAAATACTGATAAGAGAAAACCTGAAGTCTAGGAAGATTTTTCAAAACCATTTTATTAAACACCCAAAGCTGTAAGTGGCAACTTCTAACAATAATCAGACAATTAAGAAGTTCTGCTTCTGCAAACATACATGGCATTCAGCTTTGACAGCCATTTCCTGCAAATAATTACTCCAGAAAGACACCTTGATACCATGATGAACTGTCAGCTTTTTGACAGTTTGATCTAATATCCTAATATAACATACATTAATGCCAATACCACATGATGAATGGAAAACTAAACCAAAATGGAAAATGAGAAAGAGGGAGAGAGATTGAAAAGATAAGTTATTTTCTTATTTAGACATATCATATTAAAAAGCACTACCAGAATGCTGCTTCCTAAACTTAGCTGAATTCTGTGCATGCAGGCAGGTATGAAGCATTCCGTTAAGTATCCAGCAAGTTCTTCTCTATACATAGCTTAAAGTATCTTGCAAAAACTGCACGTTGACAGCATTGTCCAATGCAAGAAAACAAAAAGGCTCCTACGAGTATTTTAAATGTTTAAGTATCACCCTGAACAGAGTAGATTCTCTGCTGCATTTCTGTGCTCGTAACATCTGGGACTTTTTTCCACTCATGAATATTTATTGCTATCATGCCATTGCCTTGAACCCTGGAGATCTCCTGTGTTCTTCCCATGTTGTTTCTAGTGACTCTTGAACTCTTTACCTAACCACGTTTTAATTAGACCTAGAGAGAAAAAACGCCATCACTTATTTCTGATATTGCCTAGGTACATGTTGCAACCTGACAAAATGAGCAAGACTAATCTCACATAACTATACTTCATAGAATCATAGAATGGTTTGGGTTGGAAGGGACCTTAAAAATCATCTAGTTCCAAGCCCCCTGCTATGGGCAGAGACACCTTGCACTAGACCAGGTTGCTGAAAGCCTTGTCCAACCTGACTTTGGATACCGCCAGGGATGGGGCAGCCACCACTTCTCTAAGTAACCTATGGTAGGGCCAAACCACCCTGGCAGTAAAGAATGACTTACTATCTAATCTAAATCTACCCTCTTTCATTTTAAAGCTACTCCCCCTTGTCCCTCTCCAGCTTTCTTGTAGGCCCCCTTTAGATACTGGAAGGCCTCTATCAGGTCTCCACACAGCCTTCTTTTCTCCAGGCTGAACAACCTGTTCACTGAGAACCTCTCTCAGCCTGTCTTTACAGGATAGGTTCTCCAGCCCCCTGATCATCTTCTTGTCCCTTCTCTGGACATGCTCCAGCAGGTCTAAATCCTTCTTATGTTGGAGGCCACAGAGCCAAACACAGTACTTCACGAGAGTAGAATAGAGGGGAAGAATCACTTTCTTCAACCTGCTCACATTTCTTTGGATGCAGCCCAGGATATTGTTGGCTTTCTGGGCTGCAAATACACACTGCCAGGTAAGGTTGAGCTTCTCATTGAGTAAAACCCGCAAGGAGTCATCAGGACTGCTTTCAATCTAGTCTGAGCTAACTTTCAGGTTCCTTTTGCAATCAGTAGAAATAAGTGGATGTATCTAAGAAAATTCACTGGATGTCTCTTCTAGACATCAGACAGGTCTTTTGGATGTCTGCCTTAAAGCAAGATAAATTGGATCCTACAAGCACCCATTTTTTTTTCATTAACCATAAAGAGTACGTACCCAACAAGTTTAGAAGCCAATATCTAAATGTCTACATTTATGTAAAGATTTCCATAACCCCTATGCTTGCGTGGAGAATACTCCAGAATATATAATTAGGGGTAACAATATTAACCTCAGTGATCTGTAGCTTGAGTTAATAACTATCATAAAATAGAAAGACTCCTATGACTGCCTTCTACAGACCTCTCTCACCTTTTTCTGAAGTGTATGTCACTGATCAGTGCTAGGAACAAGATACTGGCCAGTGTCAAACTTCAGTCTGATCCAGTCTGACAATTCCTGCATTAAATCCAAACAATTATAACTAAAAAAGAATAAACAGTTTCCCCTAGGATCCTTTCCAAGGAGAAAGATAGATAAATAAGTCTCAGAAAAGCTGATTCAGTCTCATTGAATCTCATTTGGAATTTATCACTTATTCCAACATTACCACTATGGAAATTTCTGCAAGAGCTGAAAGTGTTTAATTCATTAGCACATAGTTTTGCATTCACCTCCCGTGGCCAGGTTTGGACTGAGTATGCAGAAATCAAATGCTTGCAGACTGCCAATTAGAAGGATTTATTGCATGGCTTTCAGGAAGAATGTAGAGGTAGCTATTCTCAGGGAAATATTCACAAAGTGTGTATTCCTCTTAAAAGTAGACGCCAGTGGGTGGTAACAGTCTGCAGAGGCTATCTGCTTGATAGTACACAATAGCTGATTAAGAATCTTTTTACTGGTGTTTTGGGAAAAAAAAATCTGTGATTACCTATCTTGCTTCCATTACCTTTCTTGCTTCCAATATCACTAACAGCAAGATACCACTGTGTGGGTAGAGAGAGATCTTCACAGAATCACAGAACCATTATTGTTGGAAGGGACCTCTGGAGGTCATCCAGTCCAACTCCCCTGGCAAGGCAGGACCAACTAGAGCAGGTTAGATAGGAAAGCATCCAGGCAGGTTTTGAATGTCCCCAGAGAGGAAGACTCCATGACACCCCTGGGCAACCTGTTCCAGTACTCTGCCACCCTCACTGTGTAGAAGTTCTTTCTCATGTTGAGGTGAAACTTCTTGTGTTTTAGCTTATGGCTGCTGCTCCTCATCCTGTCACTGGGAACCACTGAAAAGAGTCTGGCACCATCTTCCTAGCATGTGCCTTTGCGATATTTATATGCATTAATGAGATCTCCTCTCAGTCTCCTTTTCTCTAGACTAAACCGGCCCAGCTCCTGCAATCTTTCCTCATCAAAGATGCTCCAGACCCTGATCATCCTTGTGGCCCTCTACTGGAAATTTTCCTTTTGGCCTAAGACAGTACTTAGTTCCAGTTAAGTACATTCATTTGGAAAACTGTTCCCTCTCATGAAGAGGAATTAATTTTTTAACATTTCTTTTCAACTGATTTTGAGCAAACCAATTTTTTTTTTAAACAGAACAAAGATACAAAAAAAACCCTCTACAAATATCAAGAGCTCAGCTTTGTGCTTACTTGCAACTACATAATCACATCCCTGCTCAAAGCAGGTGAGAGGGCAAACAGTTTTCTCAGTGTATGTACTCTCTCTTATTTTTTATAAGTTCCATCCTGTGCTTAAGAAATCTTAACAAAAATTTTATAGAATTCAGTCTGTTGTAACAAAAACTATTCAAGCCAGCAGCAACAGTTTACAGCTGATTGCTTTTTTCAGTGAGCTTTCACTATTTCTTTTTTTTAACTTATCGTACAACAGATTCAAAGATTCAGCCAAATATATTTTTTCAGGTGGGAGCAACCAAAAGAAGGGAGAGAGACAGAGGTGAGATGAAACCTAAGGAAGATATGAACCACACAAAGAAATAGGTACACAGACAGAAAAATGAAAAACCATTGGGATAAGCAAATAAAAGTAACAGGTGCAAGGGCAAGCAGTTGAAGAACACAGACTCCTTCAGAAAGGGCTGCTCATCATGACATATTTTATATGGATTGTACATTGGGTAAGCTGTAATAACAATTATCCTGTCCCTGTTTTCAGTGGTGCTGAAATCTGAAGACACATTTCTCTCTTCTTCCAGATATACAGTAAAAATCTGAAATTATAGCTCTTTAAAATGCATCAGGAAGAAAAAAAAAAAAGCAGAAAAAAAAAAGCCTTGTCATTTATTGCTTTCATTTTCAGCACTTCTCTAGCAGATTTGAAAATGTCATAAGCAGCATCTCATTATTTCAGACCTACAAATGGTGGTCACGTCAACTTACAATACCGTTTCAGAAATTTAGTAACACTGCACAGAAGCTGCAAACTAAGGGAGTTTTCAACAGAAATATTAGAAATTTTAATTAAAAACTTGCCCCATTGTAAGCCACTGAGCATCACAAAATGTTTAAAAATACAAATGATTGTCATAAAAAAACATTCACATGAATTATATACCCAATCCCTCCAAATCTTTCTGTCCCTGCAGTTTTTTTCTATTTTTTTATTGCTATTTTATCATACTGCCTATAATTGTCTACTGAAAAAGAAACTGGAAATAAAAGCACTTTAATTCACATTGACCCATAATAGCTAAATCTCATGACTTGAA